ATCACTCGTTGCAGGGGTATTCTTTAGAAGGTCTTCGTGCAACACCCTGGCTTTCTCACAAATAATGGCCTCCGAAACACTATCACCCCTCAACTCCTTGTCGTGTATCCAAATTAATAACAACTTTTCCACTTCTTCAAGTATTTGTGCCGTTAATGTTCTTACTCCTTTTGCCACTTTAGCACCCATAATCTTATTTTTCTTCTTAAGTATAGTGCATATTGTTGATGTGGCTTTGTTGTACTGCCTACAAAGTTCAACAACACGTGTACCGTTCTCATGCTTCCGAATGATCTCTTGTTTCTCCTCTAATGTCATCCTCACAGGAGCTTTCTGGCCTTTATCCTTACCACTGGCTTTCTTGGGACCCATGGTGAGATATATAATAACAAATTGTATAGACAAATCACCAAAAATCCAACAAAACACTGAAAATCCGCGAGAAGAATTGATGTGGGGGTAGTCACTGAGCGCCAGACAATAATAAACTGAGGGGCGGCGGGGCGGAGGGGCGACGAACGCGCTAGGTCGGCTGTACGCGTATCAACAAACTCGCGTCCAAACTCGCCTCCCGAAGTAACCCTCGCCTCCCGAAGTAACCCTCGCCTTCTGAGACAAATTTTTGGAGTAAATACACCTCGCCTTCCGAAAATCTCGCATACAGGGACAATCGCATTCCGAGGTACCACTGTACCTCTTCCCCTGGTTTAGCTGTTGCTTTGTGTTCTGACTCGGTTGGAGTGCTTCCCAAAGAGAGTAGTCCTCATGGCCCCTTGATGGCCGGTCCAGCTTTGTTTTCAGATGCGGCTTGATCTGTGTCCAAACCCGGGGCGTTTCCCGCAGTTCCGCCTCTTTCGGCAGGTCGGACCGGTCCTGTACGTGGTTGGTTCAGCCTTCTCCTCGTCTCTTCATGTCTAGTCATTTGATGCGGGTGTATCACCATCTCTATGGTGATCAGGTGATTTTGTTGATGGTGTCCCACCTGCAAGCTTCGTCTCGGCGACAGTATGAAGTTTCCTGGCGATTCTATTCCCCATTTTCTTGCTCTTCGTAGGTTGTCTTGTCTTTTCTTGGTTTTCTGGACCATTCTTAGATGCTTCTTACTGTTGCCTCGTATCGTGCGCCGCTGGCGGAGTCGCTCCAGCTGGCGTTCGGGATGGACGTCACATCCGCCCCATTCCGTACGCTTTCTCGTGCTTTGTTTCACCTCCGGCCATCATGTGTTGTGTCCAGTTTGGGTGTTTTGCCGTTACCTGCATGCCGTGGCTGGGGATGCTCTTTCGGTTGATCTGGTTTCCCTCGTTCCCTGTTCCCGGGCTCGGGTCTCCCAGGTTGACCGCAGGGTTATTAAATCTAGCCAGCCTGCGGTCTATCCTTGCGCCTGTGCCATTCGAACGTTTGCAGCCTTCGCTGCCGTGTTTGGTAACATGTCTTAGGCTCATTTCGGGTAATTACCAAAGTGTAATTACCTAAGTGTAGCTACAGGAGGAGAGCTACGCTCGTTGTGTCCCATCTTCCCAGCACTCTTTGTCATATAACGCTTTGAAACTAGTGACGGTCTTGGCCTCCACCACCTTCTCACCTAACTTGTTCCAACCGTCTACCACTGTTTGCGAAAGTGAATTTTCTTATATTTCTTCGGCATCTGTGTTTAGCTAGTTTAAATCTATGACCTCTTGTTCTTAAAGTTCCAGGTCTCAGGAAATGTTCACTATCGATTTTTATCTGCTTCCCTGCTTCCACTTTTGTAGATTGGAACTATGTTAGCCTGTTTCCACACGTTTGCTACGATTCCTGTACACAGGGATGCCTGAAAGATCAGGTGAAGTGGAATGCTGAGCTCAGATGCACATTCTCTCAGAACCCATGGTGAAACGCCATCTGGGCCAGCTGCTTTGTTCTTCCCGAGCTCCTTTAGCATATTTTCCACTTCATCTCTAGACACCTCTATCCGCTCTATGTTGTTCTCTGGAATTCTTATTGTGTCTGGTTCTCTGAAGATTTCATTTTGTACAAACACACTTTGGAACTTTTCATTTAATGTTTCACACATTTCCTTTTCATTTTCCGTGAATCTGTTTCCCAATTTCAACCTCTGGATATTATCCTTTACCGGCAATTTGTTGTTTGTGAATTTGTAGAATAGGCCCGGTTCTGTTTTACATTTAACCGCTATCCCTTTTTCAAAATTTCTTTCTGCCTCTTTCCTTACTGCCGTATAGTTGTTTCTCGCATCTTTGTATCGCTGGTATGTTTGGGGGTTTGGCCTCTTCCTATACTGATTCCATTTTTGTGGCCCTCTCACAATTTCTGTTGAACCAATCCTGTTTTCTGGCCCTGCATCTCTGTTTTGGTATGAATGTTTGTGTGCCTTCCTCGTATATTTTAAAAAATTTGGCATACATTTCATTTACTTCCCTTCCTAGCAACAAGTCTGTCCAATTACACTCATTAAAAAAATTTTGAAGTTCCCCATAGTGACCTCTCCTTAAATCGAGTTTATCAACTGTTTCAATGTCCCCATTTTCTTCTAGATGATATCTTAAAGCATAATCAATGTCTAACAATACGTGATCACTCTTTCCCAAGGAAGGAAGGTACTGGATGTCAAATATCTCTTCTTCTTTCCTGGTGAATACTAGATCCAGTACTGACGGTACATCTCCTTCCCTCATTCTTGTGGCCTGCTTTATGTGTTGATACAAAAATGTCTCCAGAATGAGGTTCACAAATCTGCATGTCCAAAAGTCCTCCGTTCTTGCTTCATAGGCCTCCCAGTCTATTGCTTTAAAGTTGAAGTCCCTCAGTATCAACAGTCGTGATTTATCTTTATCTGCTTGTACAATAATATCTCTCATGGCCATTATGAGGCCCTCTCGTTTGTCATCCAGTTCTTCCTTTGTCCATGTGTTGCTTGCTGGTGGGCTGTAGGCATTTAAAATTTTCAGCTTATCATCCTGATTCCAGATCTGCAATGCCATTATGTCAATATCTCGAGGGTTTTCAAATATTAACTCTCTTACCTTCAGGTGTTTTTTTACCAGTACAGCCACTCCTCCTCCCTTCCTAGTTTTCCTGTCACGTCTCCGAACTGAATAGCCTCTTGGGAATATGACTTCATTTATTATATTTCCTTCAAGTTTCGTCTCTGATAATGTGACAATATCTGGGACCCTAAGCTGGATTATATCTTGCAACTCCAAAGATTTTGACCTCACTCCATCTATGTTGGTATATACAATTTTCAGGAACATGTTCCCTTTTCCTTTGCTCTTTACTCCCCCTTCCACTACTGATCTTGTTGCTTTGTTTTTATGTACCATTTCACAAGCTTTCCAGTCCCTGTCACTTTGTAGAAAAAAGAATTTGTCTTCTTCATTTCTATCTCCATTTAGATGTTTTGCCTCAATTAGGTTCATTTTCAGCTTTTCTCTGTCTTCCTTGGAGAGGTCTTGTCTTATTGACCAAAGTTTGCCAACCTCATCACTGCAATTTCCTTGCATTTCTAAGCACTTCCATCATGTTTTTCACTCCATTAAATGTCACCCTTAAGGGGCGGTTCTTGTCTTTCTCATATTTTCCTATTCTTCTAAAATCACTGACATTTTCCTTTGAGCCTTCTCCTAAACATACTATTTTCTCTATGATTTTCATCTCTTTTGCTGCTCAGTCCACCCTAGATGAAATTTCCTTCTCTAAACATCCAAAAATTATTATGGACTTAGTTCTATCTGCAGTGTTTTGTACTAATTTACTGTTGGTAACCAGTACTTTCCTAATTGCTTGCCTAATTTCTGCTTCTTGTTTGTCCTTTCTGGTTTTGACTTCCAAACACACTTCTTTGATACTTCTTTTCACTTCTTTGGGTGCGGGGATTTGGAGGCTGTACAGATTCCTGGGCGCCCATTATTTTTGTGAGTATGTCTGCTCTTGGGTGTTCTTGGGTTGCTTTGGGCTGCAGGTTGCAGCCTGTTGTCTTGACTTCGCGTTGCGGAGTTTGTGGTGACCCTCTCCCGGGTCAGTCCTTTCTTTTCTATCTCTTTGGGTATGAAGCTCCAGGGAGCCATAGGGGCTTCCCTCAGAAAACCAGCGTTGAATGTAATGAAACACCATTTTCTGAGTGAGCCCCGGAGGCTCCCTGGCAACCCTCCCTCCCATGTGGGGTTTGTTTTGTTATGCCTACCTTTCTAGGTGCCTAACCCCGGTCGATGGCAGATAAGGAAAACCCTCAATCACAGTGGGGGGTTTTCCAGGGCCATTGCTCCCTGAAACCTTTCTGAAGGGGCCAGGTTCTGGCTCTTGTTCCTAGTAGGTCTAAACTCCATAGTTAGCTAATGTCCCAGTCTAATATAACATACATTAGCCCGATAAGCTCCAGGGAGCCTCCGGGGCTTGGCCAGAAAATGGCGTTTCATTGCACTCAACACTGGTTTTTGGTAACATACAGGAACCAACAAAGGGAAGAGGAAGGGACCTTCTAACTACACCATACCACCTGTTTTTATCCAGAATCAGGCATAAAACTGCACAGTGTCTTGCAGATTGGTGTACTGTACTTGATCAACCTGTCCTCTTAAAAAGAACGTCGCTTTTGGCCGTTTGCCCGTATGGCCGAATTTGGACGTAATTTGAAAATGAAAAAAATATGAAAATAAATTTGGGATTGTTTTTTTCAACAACAGTAAGTTAAGGGTCCTCTGATAGGTTAGGTGGGCAGGAAATTCTCTTAAAGTTGCAAAACGTTATGAAAAACGTTAATTTAAAGTGTCGGCTTATAACCTCTGCGCGTACGCCGGATGACTCAAATAGAAAACGGAACAGAACGTCACTTTTGTGAGTCGATTTCATTTCAAATTACGTCCAAATTTGGCCATATCGCGCATACCAGCCAAAAGTGACGTTATTTTTAAGAGGATGGGTTGACTTGATATCCAAGTGTTATTTTAAATTGCCAGTACTGTACAGTAATAATGCCTTACCCAAGATTTGTTTACATGCAGGGAATAAAAGCGGAAACCCAGAAGGGAGTGCACGTACTCCAGACCGCGGGATAGGAAGACCCAGACCTAATGTTAGAACTGGAAGTCTATTCGAACACCTTGAAGGTAAGAAGCTTCGTCCATCTCCCTCATAATCTCAAATGGATGAGAGGTAGTTTTGTGAGTTCTACTTATTGTTTAAGATTTGTTTAAGACCACTAAATATTATGATTTGTTGCGGGCTGCTGCATTCTAAATATACTGTAGAATATTTTGTATAAAATGCCTTAAAGGTAGTTTTGATTTAATCCCCCTAAGGAGGCCATTTTGTCAGAATAAAGAGTGCTACAGTTTAGTAGATTTAGGATACAGGCAATATTCTTAGTCTGTGAATCTTTATGATTTCTTGTTCATGAGTACATTACCATATTTTGGTTAGTGGTAATCCATTTTCAAATAAATAGATGGAAAATGTGTACCAGATTTATTAAAGGGCTTTATTTTTTACAATTTCATTCTCTTCCATTCAGTTTTTCATTTGTTATTATAACTATTGAAGCACTGTAGTTAATATTGGGAGAGAAGAGAGTGGTGCAAACGTTCAAAATATTATTATTATTATTATTATTATTATTATTATTATTAAAAGGTTAAATAACATTTATCAAGTTTTTATGTTTAAGTTTATTTTGTGATTTTGGTACTTGTCGAGGATGTTCAATCTCTTCGTTTGATATTCTTTACCATCATCATTTTTGTCAAATATGAAATAAAATTATAAATATTTTAAACTGTTTTACTTGTTAGATGCATAATGTTTGTAGTGCTTATTGATAGTCCTTATGGCAATATGTCTGTAATTCATAATCATGCAAGTACTAACCACAATTGTTGTCATTTTTATGCCTGTGTTTTGCATAAAAAAGGGTACACATCCAGCACAAAAAAAATTTCCTTACTGTAAGTAGACCCCTGCCATAGATGTCCATAAATAGACATTAACTCTGAAAGTGTCTTCTCCTCTCAGAAAGGTGCATGTTTTTCAACTAGCCCAAATTAAATCAATATAAATAAATAAATGTGTTTTATGTATGTGTGTAATTACCTAAGTGTAGTTACAGGATGAGAGCTACGCTCGTGGTGTCCCGTCTACCCAACACTCTTGGTCATATAACGCTTTGAAACTACTGACGGTCTTGGCCTCCACCACCTTCTCACCTAACTTGTTCCAACCGTCTAACATTCTGTTAGTGAAAGTGAATTTTCTTAGATTTCTTCAACATCTGTGTTTAGCTAGTTTAAATCTATGACCTTTTGTTCTTGAAGTTCCAGGTCTCAGGTAATCGTCCCTATCGATTTTTATCAATTCCTGTTACTATTTTGTACGCGGTGATCATATCACCTCTTTTTCTTCTGTTTTCTTGTTTTGGTATATTTATTGCCTCTAACCTCTCCTCGTAGCTCTTGCCCTTCAGTTCTGGGAGCCACTTAGTGGCATGTCTTTGCACCTTTTCCAGTTTGTTGATGTGCTTCTTAAGATATGGGCACCATACAATGGCTACATATTCTAGCTTTGGCCTAACAAAAGTCATGAACAATTTCTTTAGTATATCGCTATCCATTTATTTAAAAGCAATTCTGAAGTTAGAAAGCATGGCATAGGCTCCTCGCACAACGTTCTTTTTGTGGTCCTCAGGTGATAGTTTTCTATCTAGAACCACCTCCAGATATCTTTCTTTATCAGAATTCTTTAAAGATTTCTCACATAATATATAGGTTGTGTGAGGTCTATGTTCTCCTATTCCACATTCCATAATATGGCATTTATTAACATTAAATTTCGTTTGCCAAGTGGTGCTCCATATAATTTTTTTGTCCAAGTCATCTTGAAGGCATGACAATCATCGAAGTCTCTTATCCTTCCTATTATCTTAGCATCATCAGCAAACATGTTCATATAATTTTGTATACCAACTGGTAGATCATTTATGTAGACAATAAACATCACTGGTGCAAGAACTCAACCCTGTGGTACTCCACTTGTGACACTTCTCCAGTCCGATACATTGCCTCTGATTACTGCCCTCATTTTTTTATCGGTCAGAAAATTTTTCATCCATGTTAGAAGCTTACCTGTCACCCCTCCAATATTTTCCAGTTTCCAGAACAATCTCTTATGTGGAACTCAGTCAAAGGCCTTTTTTAGGTCTAGATAGATACAGTCAACCCAACCATCTCTTTTCGTAAAATCTCTGAGTAAATTCGATACACAGGATCTTCCAGATCGAAAACCATACTGTCTGTCTGATATAATATCATTTCTCTCCAGGTGTTCTACCCATTTAGTTTTGATTAGTTTTTCCAATACTTTCACTATTACACTAGTCAATGATACAGGTCTATAATTGAGGGGGTCTTCCCTGCTGCTACTTTTATAGATTGGGACTATTTTAGCCTGTTTCCACACGTCTGCTACGATTCCTGTACACAGGGATGCCTGAAAGATCAGATGAAGTGGAATGCTGAGCTCATATACACATTCTCTCAGAACCCATTATGAAACTCCTGGGCCAACTGCTTTGTTCTTACTGAGCTCCTTTAGCATATCTTCCACTTCATCTCTTGACACCTCTATATGCTCTATGTTGTTTTCTGGAATTCTTATTGTGTTTGGTTCTCTGAAGATTTCATTTTGTACAAACACACTTTGGAACTTTTCATTTAATGTTTCACACATTTTAATGTGGTAATGAAAATATCAATTCTCCAAATTCATTTTTTAATAATGATCTGACACAAGTGTTTCGTAAGGGCTTCTTACATTCTCAAAGACTTCTTTTCACTTAACACTGATGAACTACAGTGGTACCTCGGAATACGAGTGTCCCTGAATGCGAGTTTTTCGGAATACGAGCAGCATTTGCTCGGAAAATGTGCCTCAGAAGGCGAGGGTTACCTCGGAAGGGGAATTTGTTGATACGCGTACAAGCTGACCCAGCGCGTAGTGGTACGGCGATCTTCGCCCCTCACCCCTCAGTTTACCAGTGCCTTGCGCCCAGTGACTATGCCACGTCAATTCTTCATGTGGATTTTCAATGTATTGTTGGATTTTTGGTCATTTGACCATAAAAGTTGTTATTATATATCTCACCATGGGTCCCAAGAAAGCCAGTGGTAAGGTTTAACCTCAGATAATAGTGCAGCGTTTCGGGTGATCGAGTGGCAACACTGAAAAGTGTATACTCTTTTCACTGTCTTGACATTAATTTTCGATGTACGTATTTCATTTTTTTACCAATATGTTCGCAATAGAATGTTCTAGAAGAACATAAGTATAAAATGTCACACAAGGATGCGTTAGACCGGCACCAAATAAAAAACTTCGTCGATTACACTTGTCGTGTCAACAATACAACGGTCTTACCTCGATGGTGCAGTGCTATGCCGTTCTCCCAAATAGACTATGCGGCTATTAGAGAAAACGGAAATTTCATGGGGACATATTCAAACTATCTCAAAGTTGATCGCATAACAAATAGAGTTTATAGAAATATTTTTTCTTGTGACTCGTGAGCGAGTCCACTGTGCGACCTCAACACAATAAGTGGTAATGCTCTTGATCGCCGTGATAACGCTAAAGTGTTAAGAAAATGTGTGAAGTATGGGAAGAATTGCAAAGTTTTGTTGAAAAAACTCACCCAGATAAAGCTGCAGCAGGCCGTTGCATTGACCTTTTAAATGATAATGTGATGTATTACTACAGACAAGTGTTAAAATGAGGGAAAAACAAGTGTCTTTAGACAGATTCTTAGTAAGACAAGCAAGTCTTAGTGGTATGTAGGCAAAACGTGCCAGAGTGTGCATACCAGTGAAGTCCTCACTGCCTGATGTTATAATGGAAGGAGACTTCCCTTCCAAACAGTAACACCTCTCCTCCTCCTCACCATCTTCCATGTGCCAACAGCAGTCATCAGCAAGGTAAGTAATAACTTGAACATAGTTTTGTAGGTTTATTTAGATGAATTAGGTATAAAATTTAGTTTGAAGTGAGGTTTTTGGTGTAGTCAGGAACGAATTAATTCATTTCCCATTATTTCTTATGGGGAAATTAGCTTCGGAATCCGAGCTGACTCCAGGCACGGATTAAACTCTTATACCGAGGTACCACTGTATATATATATAAATATATATATATATATATATATATATATATATATATATATATATATATATATATATATATATGTCGTACCTAGTAGCCAGAACTCACTTTTTGGCCTACTATTCAAGGCCCAATTTGCCTAATAAGCCAAGTTTTCCTGAATTAATATATTTTTTCTAATTTTTTTCTTATGAAATGATAAAGCTACCCATTTCATTATGTATGAGGTCAATTTTTTTTATTGGAGTTAAAATTAACGTAGATATATGACCGAACCTAACCAACCCTACCTAACCTAACCTAACCTATCTTTATAGGTTAGGTTTGGTTAGGTAGCCGAAAAAGTTAGGTTAGGTTAGGTTAGGTAGGTTAGGTAGTCGAAAAACAATTAATTCATGAAAACTTGGCTTATTAAGCAAATTGGGCCTTGCATAGTAGGCTGAGAAGTGCGTTCTGGCTACTAGGTACGACATATATATATATATATATATATATATATATATATATATATATATATATATATATATATATATATATATATATATATATATTATTAATAGTATATTTTGGTAGCAGTCTTTCCTGTAGACATATATTATTAAATATGACCGAAAAAGTAAGATTAATAATTCTAACACGAATTTTCTCGATCTTTCTTATGTTTCTTTTCACTGTTGATGGTAATTGAAAAATCAATTCTCCAAAATTCATTTTTATTTCTAGTCTGACGCGACACTTGAGCGCGTTTCGTAAAACTTATTACATTTTCAAAGACTTTAGTTTACACACACACACAACTATAACTGAATAGAGCTTAAACATCTTTGATTTTTTTTTTTATACCTGCATTTGGGTGAGGTGATATGTTACAACAGTTTTGGATGAGGTGAAAACAAACTTTCAACACAAGACAGAACACGAAACAATGGGTATTGAAGGTAAGAATGGAAGTAATTGCAGAGGG